CCTCCCCCCGGTCGACCCCCACCGACCGTCAGCGATTGTCGTCGACTACCGTTGATCACTGTCGGCCTCCTTCAACCATCACTTACTAGACGTCATCAGTTGACGTTGTAAAGTGAAAAGCTAGTTACCCTTTCCCGCCTGTGGGACAAGGGGCATTTGTAATCATCAACTTATAGTGGATTTTTACAACTGGGTCAGGCCCCGTGGTTTTTCCCCTTTTTACGGGTTTTTCACGTAAAAATTTCTGGTGTGATCACAGCTCGATTCATTTTTTATCTGGGTGTGTGCTGAATTCTCGTACAACGCTAAGACGATAATCTATTACTCTACCGCCGCGAATTTTCTAGCACGCATCAACCGCCATTACTGACAAGAGGTGCTAAGGAAGAAGCTAACATTAAGTGATTATTGGGAATCACTTGCTTATCCATCAAGTTTTCAACCAACTCAAATTGTCTCAAAACAATCACTTATCAAATTTTTAACAAAAGAAAGTGTTTAAGGAGGGACTTATCCCAAGTTTTGATCAGTTCACTATGGATAAACAAGGGAGAGTTAAGCGCTTGAGTTGGTTTACTACTTGATGATGAGATAAGTCCCACTATCAAGAGAAAAAAAGAGAGGAGAGTAAAAGGAGACAAAACACAAGAGTTTTAAGTGATTTGATATAGCGACCTAAAACCATCATACAAAGTGAATATTTCACTACTCCATACAAAAAAAAAAATTATAGTCTATTGATCTCCAAGCTTTCATTTTTTTTGCTACAATCTTGTAGAAAAATATAATATAAGTTTGTCTTTTTTGTCATGACATTAGTAAAAAAGAAGTTGATGAGGCTTTAAAGAGAACTACGGATGGAAAATCAATACGTCCTGATGATATCTCAATTGAAGTGTGGAAGTATTTTGGAGATTTGGGAGTTTCTTGACTTATTATTTTAAAAATTAACAATATGCGTGAGAAGTAGAGGAAGAACATTTTGGTCGACATTTTTAAGAATAAAGGGGATGCAAAAGAGTGTGCAAATTACAGAGGAATTAAGGGCCCGTTTGGGGTAGCTTATAAGCGCGGCGGCGTTTTCGAAAACGCCGCCTAACCGTTTCGTTTGCGAGTTTTTGAAAACGTTGTTTGCCGCGTTTTGGTTTTTTACACTGAATGCAGGCCGCGGGTCGATCCCCGTGATCAAACCCCAGGCCGCGTTTCAGGATAAAATGTTTATCCTGAAACGCACAAGCTGCCCCAAACAGACCCTAAGTTGACGTGCCCTACTTTAAAATTATGCGAGAGTAATTGAACATAGGTTAAGAACATAGGTTAAGACGTGATAAAAAAATTTCTCATAATCAATTTGGATTTATGTTGGGCAAGTCTACTATGAAAGTTATACATTTATTGAGGAGTTTGATGGAGAAGTACAAAGAGAGTACGGAGAATCTACATATGATTTTTATTGATTTAGAAGAAGCTTACGATAAGATTCCGATAGAAGTTCTTTGGAGAGTTCTAGAGAAAGATGTTGATATGACTTATATTCCAGTCATTAAAGATATGTATACTAGAGTTATCACTTGTGTTTGAACAAAAGGAGGATTGATCAAGTATTTTTCTATTTCAGTTGGATTACATGAGGGATCAGTTTTAAGCCAGTATCTTTTTTGATTTAGCTCTGGATGCTTATACTAGATACTTACAGAAGGGTATATCTTATTGTATGCTTTTCGCTGATGATATCCTTTTTGTGGATAAAATTAGAGAAAGAGCTCATGAAAAACTTGAATTATAGATGTCTACATTCGATTCTAAAGGTTTTCGTTTGAGTAGATCTAAAATTGAATACATTGAATGTAATTTTAGTAGTAGTAGTTGCTCTAATGACAGAGTTGTACCTTTGGGTGATCAAATCATTAAAATGTGTGAACAATTAAAATCCTTTGGGTGATCAAATCATTAAAATGTGTGAACATTTTAGATATCTCGGGTCTATTGTTCAAAGTGATGGTGATATAGAAGGGGATGTTATTAGTAGAATTTAAGTTGTTAGGTTGAAATGGAGGAATGCATTGAACCTAGCGTGCGATAGAAAAGTACCGCTTAAATTTAACGGAAAATTTTTGTAAGATGGTGGTAAGACGAATGCTATATGACACATAATGTTGGCCTTTAAAAGTAAGCATAAAACAAAGTTAAGTGTTGTTGAGATGAGAATGCTTAGGTGGATGAGTAGCTTGAAACTTAGAGACAAAATGCAAAATGAATATATCTGTGATAGAGGTTGCTGTAGATCCAGCGACGGATAAGATTATAGAGAGTTGTCTTAGATGGTCAGGAAACATTAAACACCGACCATCTAATGATCCGGTTAGGAGAATAGATGTTTTAGATTTGACTTATGTTAAGAAAGGCAGAGGAAGACCTAAAAAACTTGGTCATATAGTATTAAAAATTATCTTAATTTATTAGAATTAAATGAAAAAATGACACTCAATAAGACACAAAAGAGAAAAATGATTCATATAGCCGACCCCACGTAATGGGTATTGGGTACCTCGGGCAAAAAAAAATTCTTAAAAAGGCCAAAGAGAAGTTATTTACTGCCAACATATTGTCTTGAGTTACTTTTGAGGTGGATAACATATGAGCCATAGGAGACATGCCAAGTAGTAGATATTGAAGAGCCCAATGAATGGCGAGCAACTTAAAACTTTAGTGCAATGGGGATTAATAGTAGAGAAATGACATGATGCTCTAAAAAATATTCCTAACATAGTCATTCCACATAGAAAGTGTCCATGTGGCACTTCTTGAGTGGTTAGACCAGGCAACAACAACATTAGTTGTACAAAAATTAAAATGTAAATTTTTTTCGAGTTTGAGGAATAAATTCAATCAAGATAAATGAAATATTTTTGGGTGAGCATGCCAATATGGATCTCATTGGTGACTAGTGGATGATCCGGCGAGCTTACAAGAAGAAAAAAATTAAGATAAAACCTCCAATTGTCAGACAAGTCCACTCAAGTCCCAATAAACTTGAGCTAGTCGACATCTTGCCAGTTAGTCTTGGACTCCTCTTAGGCCTCATGTTGAATACAATTGACTTCCAGGGGTGTGCATTTGGTCATAGTTTTTTGATCTACAAATTTACTAAACTGATTGATTTCGGTTCTAAAATATAGAAAAAAGAAAACCAAACTACTTTCCAATTCAAACTAAAGCAAAACAAACTTTTTTTGTCACTTTGGTTTGGTTTTAGATGAAACAGAATGCAATTGAATTTCACAATAAATTTAATTACATGCATCTTAAATTACATGTGCTAAAAAGATTGCTAAGTAATACTTGCTTAATTTTTATGATGTTGCCACATTACAAAAAATAATATTCATGTTGATCTATATGTAATTTATTTACATGTGAAGGCTTTGTTTATTCATTTTTTAGTTTAAAAAATATAAAAAAAAACAAAAATTGAATCTATTACCAAAATCCAAAAAAAAAAAATTTAGATCACAACCAATAAACGAACCAATACTTCAGCAACCAAACCAATCAAACAGATAAAATCATTTGCGTTTGCATTTTTATGTTTGATATATTGGCAAATTCAGCCAATAAATTAATTTTTAACATGTGGATGGCTTTGATGAAACGTGCTAAATAAAGTGTTAAGCTACACTAAGTATCTCAATAAAGATGCTACACTACTGGCAGAACCAAAACTTAAGAAAAGGTGTGGCAAAATAAATAAATCAGTGGGTGATGATTATTTAAGTTTAAAATTTTCATCTCCTGAATTTTTTAAAAAACTATCATAAAAATAATTATTAAATTTAAATATAATTAATATTAAATTATTATTACATACTTCAAGTTTTGGAAAGACAAAATTTTACTATACTATATGATATTAAAGATTTAAGTAAAAATCTATGGCCGACAGGTGCCTCCCCCCAACCACCCCCTGGTTTTGCCACTATACTACACTTTGCATTAAAATTGTTCTTATGGGTAAATGAATATATGCAAACCCCCTGTCTGGTCTCCACCACCATGAAATAAAACATAAACACATCTGCTAGAGCATGTGGAAGGAAAAAAAAATCCACATAACAAAATTGTCTACCATGCTTTCTTCAATGGTATGAAAGAAATCAGCATCTGAATTACAATACAGGCTATTATTTTTTTCCTCAAGATGCTATAATAAAACTATCATTTTCATTTCATTAATAAACAAAAAACACTAAATAAATAGTTTACTTATATACGAACACGATTAAGATAATTCGGGATAATGAGAAAACTGTAATCCTACATATGAACTTTTAAGAGGTAATTTTTACAAGATACAAAAATTAGTATTTAAGTTTCTCAATCCCCAATAACAAAAATATGAAATAAGATGGAGATCAGAAATTCTATCAGAAGTATATCCATTAGATGCATGCAATGCTAAGACTGGTCTATATTAATAAGTTGCAATGCAAGAAATAGATAAAATATGCTTTTGAGCAGAAAAAATAAGAAGAAAGCCAAGATATGGTCAAAACTAAAAGAATCACAAACTGTGACAAGTTATAACTGCATAACCAATTTAATTCAATTTAGATATTCAAAAGTGGACCAATTTACATACAAAATGGATAATTCCAAGCAGAAATAACCAGCACAACACCAAGAGGCTCTGGCACAATCTCTGCTGATGAGGGGAAAGCCGTTAGCATACTTGACACCTAAATTCATTATAACTTTAAGATTCAGTGTCAGACAAAAAAGGAGAAAACAAAGAAACAATTTCTCTCTTATTAAAAAACGCTAGCCCTAATCCCAGAGCCCGTTACCTTCTCAGGCTTCATCCAGCGCTTCAACTCCTTTAAAGCCAATCCACATGAAGACTTTGCCAACGAAATCTGCAATGAAATCAAACAGAGTAATATTCTTTTTTTCCTTTGTGATCCAGATTAGAAGACAAGTTCTGAAAAACCAGAAACAAAACTTGCAATCTAGGGAAAAGCCTTCGTCCTAATATGCTTCATCCCATCAAAAAAAAAGGACAAAAACGAAGAAAGGAGTAAAGAGAGGAAGCAAAACTCGACCTCGTGGACAAAAGATTCAAGCTTTGGCTTGGATAGATCAGCTTGTAGCGCTTCCATGATGTTTTCCTCCTTCTCGTTGATCATCCTGATGATGCCCTTCAACTGAGCCGCCCTCCACTCATAGCTCCTCGTCTTCCCCGACGAAAAGCTCTCGCGCAGCCCCGCCACCACATCATCGGCGCTCACTTCGCCGCCCGGTCGTTGAATTTGCTCGCCCATCTCTTCACCTTACAAGAATACCCGAAATAGATAACAGTCAACCGAGGAGGAATTGTTCTGTGTTGGAGGAAAGGAGGAAGGAAAGAGAAAAGCACGTTCTGTTTTCAAACCGATAGACATCTTCCATATATTGCGTATCAACTTTCCTCATGCCTCGGGGAAGAAACAAAAGCATAAATTGAATAATTGCTGATTAGTCATGTGAGGTAGAGCCGTTGAGACTTTTTGTATTTTGGACTGGTTTTGGGTATTCCATGGAGAGTATTAAAGTATTCTTGTCGTGCGGCTTACTTTTTGTTTCCTTTTACTTCAATTCATGTCAATCTATTTTGGGATGAAAGTCAAACAAGTTCTATTTTAGTTTTTGGAAGATTTACATATATATCATGCAATTCCTATGTATTTACACATGATTTTTTATGAGATATGGAAAAATTGAGTTGTAAAAATGTAAGAAGAAAAAATTAGTTACTAGATATGTAAATTCATAAGAGGTGGGTGGTACGCATATTTTTGTAAATTCCTCTCTTTTTTTTTTTTGTTTGGAGTGGCTAAGGGGCTATTTAAGATAGTTTTTGTTTTTATTTTTTATTTTAAATATTTTTTTTTTATTTTTTGAGTTATTTTAAAATAACAAATAAAAAAGGTATGCTAGATAATTATATTTTTAAAAATTAAAAGAAAACATTAAAATGAAATTGATCTCAAATGAATACTAAGAGCTTTCACACCTCATCTTCATTTGAATCCGTAGGTGCATTAGTTTTTACTATTATTTTATATTTTTCAAAGCAAACATATTTGTTAAGTGAAATCCAAGTTGTTGAAATTAAAAAATATGGAGCAATTGTATTTTCATTTTCATTTGGTTCAATTCAATCGAATCATCATCAGGTTCAAAGCTTAGTCAACATCTCACCAGTTTTGAAACTAGCTCGATGCTTGACTTAAAATAATTTATCAAAGTTGCTTGCTTGTTAACAAAGTTATTATTAATGGAACATTTTTTTGGTACCAAACCTCAACTTAGAACTTGCTTAAACTTTCCCTCCTAATGGATTGATACCAGTAAAACTCATTTGCTAAACAATGAGCAACATGATGTTCAATAAATTAATGCACTTATAGTTTTTTTATGTAATTAATCTTATGCTATTGGTATTGATCTTCATTTACGACATTTTTTAGTGCATTTTGACCAAATTTATGCCAATCAAATTTTTGTATCCTTTCTTTATCCTTTAGAGTTAATTCAACTTTTATTATGTGTTATATGTAGTCAATCAATTTCTTCAATAATTTTAATTAAAAAAAATTCTAAATCTAATATCTTATTCTCATCACAGACTCGGTCACAATATGTAGTAGAATTTTGGCATCATTCCATCAATTATTTCATGTATATGATTTCAAAAAATCATGAAACACTTTCCAAAAACTACTTATTCACCTTTGATGAAAGCATGTTTTAATTAGCTCTTTAGCTTTCCAACCATCGCCTAGTAATTACGACATTCTCACTTTAGGAAAACATTGCGGAGTCTCTTCTCCAAAAACAAATGATAAAAATATAATGCGGCACACCAAAACTTTCTCGATATAAATCATGAAGATCCAACCTTCACTTAATACAAAAATGTCATCACTAGATTTTTATGAAGTAGAAATAGATCTAGTTGACCATGGGGCTTGCTTTAAATCTAACTTTTAGTTGATTAAATTCAATGATGTGATGCATACAACATATCACCGCTTTCAAATAGGAGCCATTATTGTTTCAAATATCTTATTCTAAGGGGGACCAAAGGTTTTCTATACTTAATGTGGTTATTCATCATTAGTTTTGCCCAAGCACAAAGGTTGTTGAAGAAATATTCAAGCTCCTCTTAACATAAAACGACATTTTAGTTAGCCCTTTCATTGATTGAGTACTTTTTTTTTATTTTTGTGATATATGTTAGTTGATTAGAACTTGGACCCTAAACCCTATGCTTATATAAATTTGCTCGATAATATTGTACACACACACACATCAAAAAGAAAAAGCCTTTAGATCATGATATTTTTGGCTGGCAAAGTGATCTCAGCCAAAAAAAAGGGACAACTGATACATCTCTAGCAAATTTCCATCATCCGTCATGAATCTCAAGGCATGATATAGATCTTGAGGAGGCTTTTTGAGCAAGAAATATTCAAATCTCGATAAAAACTCATCCAAAACTCTGATTTCAACAAACTTATAGTCAAACTCACTAGCTCGTCAAGAAGAACCTACTGTTACCAAAATTAATCCAATCTGTATCAAATTATGCTTAGATTAAGGGCCCGTTTGGGGCAGCTTATTTGGTGCGATGTCGTTTTGAAAATACACCTGACCTGTTTGGGTAAACTGCGTTTTGACAGGTTATGCATTTTCAAAACGCTGAAAACAACATTTTCACACCGCACCTATCTAGGTAGATAGGTGCGGTGGCAGCTTATTGGCAGGGGTCTGGCTTTTCAAAAAAAATAAAACTTTGTATTAGCTACCTCACCTAGCTTATCAACATATTATTTTTAATCAGCTTATCAACAGATTATTCAATAAGCTACAGCTGCCCCAAACAGACTATAAGTCATTAAACCACTCTTTCAATTTTTTTCAGACATATTTAGAAGGTTAAATAAATATTGAATCTAGCAATCTTATAATCAAGCGTCTCGACGAGACGAATCCAACGAGCCTAAGATTGCTCAATTCCAACATCTTCCATGCACTCAAATGTTCATCAAATGTGTTTTGAACGAAGGAAGTCCTCCGGACATTCCGATCAAAGTAGTTCATCTTTCGACATTAATTACACTCATAACACTGTGAATAGAGCCCACCCCTCTCATCAGAGTGGGTTGCAGGCTTCAGAGAACTCAAACCTTTGAGAAGGAGCTTAAGACTAGTACCACCCTTGTTACCATCGACCGTCGCTAACCACCGCTTACTGCTATTGACCACCACATATCGTCGTCGACCATTGTTGACTGTCATCGACAACTACTAACTGTCGTTGAGCACTACTGTCGTCAATCACTATAGACTGTCATTGACAGCTGACCACCGTCGATCACCACCAATCACCATGAACCACCACTGACCTGAAGTCGTCAGTCGATGTTATAACTTGGAAAATCTAGTAATCATTTTCCGTTTGTGAGATAAAGGGTTCATCGACCTATAATGAATTTTTACATCAAGGCCAGACCACATAGATTTTTTTCCTTTGCGAGTTTTTCACGTAAAAACATTTGGGGTAAGAATTGGTTGTTTTATTTTACTTAAGTGTGTGTTGAATTCTCATGTTACATTAAGATGATAATCCATTACTATACCGCCAAAAATTTTCTAGCACGCATCACATGTATATCGGGAAACCAATCCCTCTATAGTTGCAAATTCACCAAACATATCTCAACTAAATTGAAAACAAAGTAATTTTGAATAAAAATATGAAAGACATAAAATATGAAGGAAATAAATCAATGAAAGGTTTCATACAATGTCTTAATCAATCCTCCAAGGTTTAGGGTTTGTAGCTGGCCTACATGAGAATTAAATATGGAAAGGACTTCTTATATTTCCACAATCTTCATCAAGTGCAGTCATGATGTTGTAGAGAACGAGATCGGTGTTGAATTTTGAGAAGGTACTAAAAGAAAGACCTTAGGTGAAGTCACCAACAATTTGTTGGTGTGTTAGGATGTAACTTAGTTGTATAACTCCCCAATTGACCTTTTAAGAGATGAAGTGTGGTTCTGTCATGATACACATGAATAATCCAGGAAATACTAATAGCTTTTTTACTATCACAAACATTTATATAAGTTTACTGGAAAAACATCATAGTTCTCATAATAATTTTTGAATCCATATCCCTTCACAGATCTCCAAAGCAAGTGTCATATAATCTGATTTTGAACAACTTTTTGAAACCACAGCTTGTTCCTTATTACTTATGTAACCAAAATTGCTCATATGTATGAGCAATAACTTGTGATAGACATTCTGTCAACGAGTTTTTCCGCTCAACCAACATTAGTGTAGACTTCCAAAAATAATCCATAATAAGGAGTCATTTTAAGAAATCTCAAAATCCTGTAAACTATTTTCAAATGTTCTTCATTTGGGAAATTTATGTTTTGACTCACAATACCGCCAAATCGAGGTCACTTCCAATTGTTAACTCTATTTGATGGTCATTGAAATCAATTTTTGTCCGTCCCCACTATTAGTTGATATGCCTCCTCATACGGTTTAAACATGAGTGAACCTCCTACTATTGAATAGACCTAAGTGATTCCACTAATATGTTATAAAATATTTGTATGATTGACTGGTCAGGTAATGCACGGTGAGGACACTTCCTAAGAAGCTCCTTAAATCTTTCTCAGACTTAATATATTGACTATTCATCTAATTGGGTAAAATAGGTAATGTCATTTCTAAGTTTAGTCATTTTAGAAGGATTGAAATATTTCACGAAGAATCATTGGGCCAATTCATTCCATGTAGTGATAAAACCCGGGGCTAATGAATTATTAAGTCACATTTTAGCCTTATCTCTTAGTGAGAAAGGGAAAATCCTAAGCCTAGTAGCATCGTTGGAGAACATTGTAGCAAAAGGTGGCGTATAGTTAAAAGAAACCTACTAAATGGAGATTAAGATCTTCTGTAGCTTTTAGTCCCTTTTTAAGTTTTTTTGTATTTTTTTTTATTTTTTGACTATTTTTTCTAATTCAGGGTTGTAGGACACAAGTTAGGATGTTCCAACACTACACATACACTACTATAACGATATAGTGAAGTGACTTTAAACTAAAAAATAAAAACAAGTACATGCAAACAAACTTCCAAAATCATATAAACTAAGTTCACAAACGTGTTGACATGATATGGGAGATAAATAACACAATGATTCACAATAATAAAAATGAGAAAACATAGGGGAATGAAATTAGCAATAAATTAAACACACAACATAACATTTTTGGAGTTTTTTTTTATAAACACGAGAAATGAAAAACTGACATGTAGATGATAATTACACTACAAATTTCAAGTGTAGACCTTAATGGTTCGACTAAAATTTTCCTAATTTGGAGTTCAACGTTACTCCCCAGTAATAACGCTAAAAATTTTATATGAATCACTTGAGGTGAAGCACATATGAATCACGGAAAGTATACGTGTTATATAAGTAATATATGAATTTGAGTTTCATGTATCAATCCCACATAGAGCGAATTAAACCCCAAACTGAAAAAGGTTCGTCTACTAATTTAAGTTCTAACTTAAATGTCGGAACTTTGGTTTCTAGTTAGTGACTGCCCTAATTTTTTAAAATGATAAAACCTAGGCTAACTATGTGAGATGGAGAGTTTACAACGTTTATAGTGTTGACGAGTTCTTCTTTAAATTGTTATGCAAAAATGTAGGTTTACTCTAATGATTCAAATTTAAGTGTCAAACAGGAACACAATCTTCCTCATCTCCTCCCTGGTGCCTATAAAAGTCTGGCTAGTTCACTAGTTTTGTTCCCTAAAACCAATGAGCAACCCAAGAATCTAAATCTCTATGATATGTTTGCATAAATTCAAAGGAAATATCACTATTATTCTAAATTCATGAGGTTAACCTAATCATTCTAATTAGATATCATCCAATTTTCTAAGTTCACGATAAGTTTTAACTATCCATCTGGTTGGGATGAATGTAAATTAAGTTTTTTAGGTTAACACAACACTACATGTCAATCCCAACAAGAATTACACCATCACTTCAAGCCTATCATTCCTACACTTCCAATCCAAGTGAGAAATGTAAATCTACTCACCATGCAAGTTTATAAACAACAATTTTAACTTATATATATATAAACCAAATAATGGTTTTGCAACAAAGAAACTAAGAATAGTCAAAACTCAACAACCATAAGACTTGTTTTCAAAACATAAAAAATATATAAATTGTGTTTTTGTTATTTTAAAACATGTTTTTCGAAGCATTACTTGTGTGAGTCTTCGCCGACCACCGACCGCCCGTTGTCATCTGCCACTAGCCCCATCCGCTAGCTCTGCTTGTTGTTATCGCACTCCACCCGTCCGCTCATATGTAGTGTTTCATGCTGGTTGTAGCAAGGAAGACGTCATGTACGTCATGAGAGACATACTATAATATTTGAATACATGTTAATCTATTTTTTTTATAAATTTTTTTTTTACTCTAAAATATTAAAAAATATCCAATCAAATATGTCTTATTATTTTTTTTCTTTTAAAAAATATAAATCATAGCACAGCTAAAAGTATTTCTAAAAATAAAAATAAAAATAAAAATAAAAAACAGAGAGAGGTGCGGTGCCCTAAAATACTACTTCCATTCCGCAATCCGCAATCCTGCAGCCACTTCCTCTTCCTTTCGAAGAGTCGAAGCCTCGACCCCTCTTCCCCATCGCTCGGCGTCCACCTTCGTCTTCTCAGGCGCGACTCTTGTCTATCGACTGCTTGGCATCGGCACGCAAAATCTGAGAACGACAACAGCTCTCAGGTAAGAACGACTAGATTCTCCCTCATCTTTCACTTTAACTTTTGATTCACACGAGCAGGAGGCCAGAATCGCGCCTTCCTCTGTTGATTTGAACTGAAGCCCTTTATTCCTTCCTCTGTTCTTCTGCAACCCTAGCCGCTAGAAGCCGTAGGGACTAGGGAGGAAAATATCTTACACTTGAGCGAGCTAATTTACATTCGCAAAACCATAATATCTAGATCAAATTTTCAATATCAAAGTGGATTTTATTTTGCACATCTTCTTATAATCTTCATTAGTAATTGTTGATGTGAAAAAAAAAAAAGTGGTTTTGTTTTGAGGGAGTGCAGAACTATTCTTACTCTACAATTTAATTCTCTGCTTGTTAATTATCGTTTCTCCAATATAGGGTGTGTCCGTAACTTGCAAATTTCATAGTCTGTTCTTCCTTCTGGTTGGCACGAATGTGCAGAAAGTAGAAGATTTCATGAAAATTGCTCTGTTTTTAGTCTAAACATGTATTTATATATCTGATAGTAAAATGTTGATATCCACTTTTATAGCATTTTCTTTCATAGTCACATCAAACATAGCATAGCATGAAAAGATATATATTATGTTAGAAAAGTTATTTTCAGTGATATTTTAGATACAGTGCTAAAAGATTTGAGTGCTATATAAATAAATATTAAAATTTTTATGCAAATACACAAAGAATAACGTGATATGTAATAATACATACAAATTGTGTAGTATCTATTTATATATTTAACACCTAAATAATTGCCCAGTAAACATCTTCCATAATTTAGTGGCGCCTCAGAATGCGTTCATACCTAGTAAATTTAACAATAATTTTTTGTTTTTTAAAATCCTATGAATCATCAAATTATGATGGTAAAATCTTATGTATCCTAATAATTATTTAATATTTATGAATATTAATTTGAGAAGACTACAAAAATTTATTAAAGATCTATAAAGCAAGAAAACAAAGCAAATTTATTACCATTGTTATTATTATTTCATTTTTGACAATGTCATTTTTTATTATTTAATAATAATTATTATCTAAAGATCATAAGAAGGATTTAATACGAATAATAGCTCTGATAATGCAAAGCTCGTTGAAAGGGAAGGCATGTTATACTACAAAAAATCAGAGACTAAACCCCTAAGAAACCTCTTTTAGTCCTTGCACCAAAACTTCTCGTTGTCAACATAACTCTATCTCCAAGCTTAATTGATTTTGATTCTGACAAAGAAGCCATAACTTGGGCCTTGGTTGACCCCTAGCATGCTCAATGCCCCCCAAATTTGCATTGCCAAAAATAATAATTCAAGTTTGATATTTCTCCTCTCTTCAATTGTTATATGGACAGTGAGGAGTGTTTGAATTTGATTAAAGTTATTGAATGATTTTCTGAGTATTTGGATATATCTGAATATTAATAAGTAAAATTAGTGGCATATAAGAACAATGGGTGAGCGATAGCTTGGTGGGAGTAGCTGTAAACTCATCGTCGACGTGAAGGTAGAAACCTTGGCGCTAGGCCTGTGTGTAGAAGTTGTTGAATGAAAGCTTCTTTTTGTTCAATTATGACCAAATCCCCTACAATTAATATCAACACCACCAATTAAGGGGGGTAATCAATCAATGAGTATACAAAGTTCTATTGCTTTAATGCTCGAATTAACCTCAAAAAACTAGAGTGACATCATGTTTCCCGATGTCTTGATGGTCTGAAGGATTCGTTGCTTGTTTAATTAGTAGTCTAATCGATATGGTGACTTTTTGATGTGGTTATTTTAAAAGTAGTACTTCTTGGAACTTCAACCAGTTTCTTTATAGTCATTGATTATAGTAGGAATTATTAGGTGCAGAATTATAGCTTATTTCAAGCCAAACTTACTTAGCATTGGCGACATCCAAACCCATCGCACTACGACCTACCTATGACCCTTCTATGCTTGTTGAGAAACACCCAACATCTATTGAAAGAAACAATCCTTATGATAGTGATCCCATTCGTTGTTATTCTTCTAATCAAATGAGACATAAATCTAATGAGTGTCTAGTGGAAGACATTAAACGTTATCATTGAAAGAACTACTGAAGTAAAAGATTATCAAAGGTCCTTGTGATTGCCCATAGCTCACTGACAGAAGATTATTCACAATCTTTAAAGGTCAGATGATAAAAAAATGAAACGCAAGTTATCAAAGTTTGTAGGGAGCATTACTTATTAGGAAAATCTATTAGGCTAATGTTCATTGTGATGTCGATATGGATGCTTGCCACATTCTCATTGTCCAGTCGTGGCGCTATGTTTGAATGTGATTCATTATGGTAAGGATTACGACTCATCTTAAGTAATCAAGCTCATGGTCACCAAATCTTCTTTGACCAGTCCCGCATCATTTCCACTAAATGTTGAATATTTTCTTTAATACTTTCTGAGTTACGAGCAATAATTATTTCTTGAATTGCTAGCATAACACCAAATTGATTTAATCACGGGGTCGAGTCTATCGAATTGGCCACACTATCTTATGTGCTCCAAGGAGCAATGTTGAAAGGAATCAAGGATGAATTACTTGCTAGACACTTAATTTGAGTAAGCCCCAACCCTTGTGCCATATTTGCAATGTTGGTTATGTAGAAAAATGAAACTTGGTTTATGTGCATGGATACTCCAAGATTACTATAAAATATTATTTCCTAATAGCTTGCTTGGAAGACACTTAATACGGTTGAAGGCTCACACATTTTTTACAAAGCTGATACCACCAACTTCACATCTGGCCTAAAAATTAGAAAAAAATAGCTTTTAAAGCTTGGGAGGGTCTCTATGAATAGCAAGTCTTGCCTTTTTGGTTGTAAGGCTTCAAGCATTTTCATGTATTTAATGAACCAATTGATAAAGCCTCTCATCAACCAATTTGCTTTTGTTTATTTCAATTACATTTTAGTATATAACAAGCTTAGAAAGATCAATTGGAACATCGAAAGCAGATCCTCGCTACGCTTGAAATGGAGAAGATATTCCCAAATTTAAGGAAATGTGAATTTGTTAGTGAATAAATATTATTTTTTGGATTCCTTATTAGTGGCCAAGCTATTTAGGGAGATAAAAAAAACAAAAAAATGTTTTGAATTGGCCTATACTTTCAAACATTCATGGGGTACAAAGCTTACATAGACACTTTATGTTTTATTTTTGTTTCATTAGAAATTTAATGATTCATACGGCCACTAACTGATTGACTCGAAAACATGAAATTTTATCGGGATGATTAACAAGAAGCAAGCTTCTCCATATTGAAGGGGAAGTTGAATTTCACACTAGTGCTCATTTTTTATTTGTTGAATATATATTTTAAGTTGAAGTTGCTGCTTCTATGATTATAATTGTAATAATGCTTATTCAAGAGGGCAGACCTATTAAGTGTATAAGCAAGAAGCAAATGACCACAGATTGAATTAGCTAATGTATGAGCAAATACTACATGGGAGCAATATCCAATTAAAAATAGTTTGTCCTATTCAACAACCATTATGCCTTCAACGATATGTACTCTCAAAAGAACCTATCTTGGATGCATGCTTCTTGAGTACTCCTCTTTTATAACTGTGTGTTATCTTTTAAAAACTGACTCAAACACTTACATTGCACCTTAGATGTTGTAAGTCAGAGAACATCTACTCATCACACGTTAAGTTAAAGTTATTGTGTTCAAAGCTCTCAAAGAATCAGATGCTAGTGATGAAGACTTTGTGATACAAGGCTCACCCGGGGGCTGAACCGGCAGGTTCAGCAAGGGAGCCTCAAGTTTGTTGGCCGGTCCTTTGGTCTAGACTAGGGTTGTTGCTCATGGGGTGGGGTCTTCCCCCTCCTATTTATCTACCACTTTATATATGTATTTTATTTTGATTAGTGTTCGGTTTTTAGCTTTGAGAATTCCGTCAAAACAACCTCTGGCATCCCTTTTTTTTCATCTAGGGCTATATCCGAAAGCGAGAATTTGCTCTGGTTGTAACTCGTCAAAGCCAAAAATTAATTTATTTATTGTAATTTTGAATTAAGTAATAATAATTTTATAGATGATATTATGTAACAATGATAACAACTAAAATAATGTTAAGAGGAATAATTGTCTCTAAAAGTACACTTCGAAGACGTTATAGTTATTAAATTTACATAAATAGACCTTAAATTAATGCTACATACCTGCTTGTAGAATAGACAGATGAAATCCTCCTATCTTAATCACAACATCATGCATTGCATATAATTTCAATGCAATTAATTTTTTATAGTACTCGGATTATTACCATGCCCAACCATAGGTTTGCACAATGCAAGAAGTGAAATAAAGAGAAATACTCCTAAAAACTTCGTGCAAACAATATTTTTTGTCATATGTTTTTTGCTAAAAACGTACCAAATACAAATAAAAATGTAAAACAGAGCAAAATTCGTACAACGATATACTATTATTTAACTCATGTAAAAGTATAGGGGATTTTACATGCATAGCATGTGAAATATTGATACTTACCTATTTCACATCTTAATATCTATATTTACAGATGTTGAACTAAAAACTTCTCGAATTCAACAATAGTAGCCCTCTGTGTCCTCCATCACCACACCGTAGTTCTTCCCCTCTTCCATGTGCTTGAAACACTCTCATTTTTCCTACTTAAGATCACATCCAAAGGCACCGGAAGTCAGAACCTTCCATTCGACTTCCTTGCTTTAGCCGAACACTGTCCCTCGCCCGCTCCAAGCCGCAAACGTCGTTTGACACCTACTTGGAATTTGCAATTGTTGTTCCACACTTGCTTGAAGCCTTAATCGTCTGAATGACATCTCTCCTCTCTTAAAGCCGCAATTAGCTATTCTCCTACTTCGTTTAAAGCAACTGCATCGTTTTTTTATCTTTTGGGCCGACCACACCTCTCTGCTCTAGTCAAACACTGTCCTCACCTGCTCTAAGTTGCAAACTTCATCCTA